CCCATCAGCCTCAATTTTTCGCTAACACTCTTGCAACCCCTGGCCATTGTTCCCGGACTTTATTTTGTATTTCTTAGGTCACTCAGCCGCACAGAAGGAGATACAAGAGTGACCTGAAATGGGACGAGTGGGATGTAAAGAGGGTTTAGAGCTCCCTCCAGCCCCTTGTTGCTAAATCTGGGACTGATTCTGACTGCAATTTGTCTCATTCTGATTTATAATTGCTTTGGAAATAAAGTGATCTGGAAAAAAGTCACCATCTGCTACAGGCAACGGGCAGGTTTCTGTGCTGCCCAAGGGCTTTGCAGGACAGAGATGAGAAAGAATGGGTTAGGGAGTGATACTGACCCAGAGCAATGACTGAAGCAAAACTGGAGCAGAAACTTTGCAGAATTATCTTAGGTTACATTAAATATTGATTTTCATAATTTTATTCCTCATTTCCCTTCTTGCTGTGATGACCAAAAGCCAACTCAGTGTACAGAAAGCCAGGCACAGCATCCAAGAGAGGATCTCCAACAAGAAAACAATAGAACAAGAAGATCAGTCAAAAAAATGGAGCTCTGTATGTTCCCCAGATGAGGGGTGTGTGTGTGTGTGTGTGGGAACAGCCAATGGAGATGCACATTAAATTAGGGATGGAAATTCATGGTTTCAACTCTGTCTCCAGAGGCAGAAAGCTGGAGGTGCATGTGACACCTTCCCAGAAGGCAACTCCCACTCTGATGGTTGTGCTACAGTAAAAAAATGCTCTTCTCAGCAGACCATGGGCAGCCTTTTTTCCCCATCATCCACCACTATCAGAGAATCATCTAGGTTGGAAAAGACCTCCAAGAACACCCAAGTCCAGCCATTAACCTCAGGGATCAGTTATCAGAGCCACTGCTTTTTCCTGCCCTCCTGCAACTTCGCTGTCACTGATGGTTTTGGAGCAGACCAAAAAAGCAGTCCTGCAGACATCAGTAAACAAGACACACAGAATAGTGGGCGAAGACACAAATTTAGTTTTGTTTGCAACCAGAAACCAGGAGTGAGCCCTTCAGCCAGGTGATGCAACCAACAGCCCACTCAGGGATCATGACTTAACTCGGTGTTGCTGGTGCTGAGATGGACCCTCCACTCTAACTGCCCACACTGTAAGACCCTCCCAGTTCACTTCTCTTCACGCCATGGGGATGCTGCCTCAAGCAACTGACTCGTTTCACAGATGGGCCCTGGTGTGAGATTCTGTAATTCCACGTAGAGTTCATGAAATAGGAATGAAGAGCAACTTGACAACGCCCTCAGTGCCACATTTTCTGTGGTGACCACTAAAACTGTGCACAGACAAAACGGCAGGTACACTTCCATCCTCTCCTCACTTGGGTTCAAAAGGAATTTGGAAGCAGCTCAGCTCCAAACAGATGGTAGGAGCAGGTGAGGAGATGCTGCAGGCATCTAACCAACTAATTTTTTTCTCTTTACCTGCAACATATTGAGGAGCAGACTCCGGAACTTGGTTCCTTCCACCATGAAAAGGGCCATTTTGTCACAGAGCTTGGCTGCTGTGGAAGCAAAGCTGCGGTCCGTCACCGCTTTCTGGTAGATGGTCTTGACTATCTCACCCAGCATCTCCTCAGAGTTGGTGGAGTTCTGGGCCTCCTCCATGAATGTGGTGAGCTTGGAGTCAACATCACTGCTGTTGTTCCTCATGCTGTTGAGAATTTCAATTAGTTTGTCCATTTTATTCTTTTCAGGGTCGGTGGTTTCCACCGTAACTTCGTCCTGGTCCGTGAAAAGGGAAAGACAAGGCGTCTGTTACACAAGGAAAAAACAGACATATCAGCCCTTGTCCTTGCAGAAGCAGCAAAGGGGGAAGGGGATAGGGGAGACATATAAACAGACAGAGAAAAGAGAAAAGACAAAGCATCTTTTAGCAGCACGATGGTATAATCTCAGCATTGAAAGCTACAAGCGCGTGAATCCTGCCCTAGAAATGTTCTCTTTCCCCATTTCCCACAGCACTCCATCCCCCTGTCCTCCCCCTCAGCTCAGGAAGATGTCCTTGAAGGTCCTGAGCCAGGGTGCCAAAGTCTGACCATCCCTGACCGGCTTTGGCATCCTGGACCAGTTTCTGGTGTCTGCCTCATGATAATGGACATTTTTGGTGTCTCTGCTTAGAAAGCACACTGATGTTCGCAAAACTCTCAGACAACAATCCTACAAAAATACCTACTTTTTAATATATATTTAAGAATGTAAACTGAGATCAAAGTTGTCACACAATCCCAGCATAAGAAAGACTCTCAGCTTCTCCATCTCTTGGCTGTTACACTTTTCACTTCACATCATTACCATAGAAATTATTGCTCCTTTTCAACATTTTATCATGCATTGCTCCTTCTCTCCAGTGTAAGGCATGCATCCCACTTGTTCTACTCTGTTGCTTTCTGCACATTTACCTCAATCTTACAATGCACTATGCAATACAAATCCGTAGCAGTTTTCTGGACAACACCAACCAGCAGTTGGTGTTTTCACAACACCCACCCAGGAGTGGGTGTTTATATGTATGTTTCTTATACGATTCTAAATTTTCAAGAAGAGCATTAATAAGAATACACTGAAGGTCTCTGCTATACTCCCATTGCTTTAAAGAACATAAAAATAACTAACAAAATCTCTTCCTCCTCCCCCCCCCCCAATCCACATACAGAAATAGTAAATCCTCATGCATTCAAAGGTATAAATTTCCAGCATGCACTCCCATGGAATTGTATGTGTTCATGTTATTTTTGCTCTGTATTTTGGAAATCTCATTAGAGATACACTCTTGGATGCGTTTTCCACTCTGACAAAAGAATCTCAAGAATCCGAGTTTCACAGGGGGCAAATGGAGATATCATCTCCAAATTCCTCAGAAATCTGTGGCTGAATATTGTTTCCAAAAAGGATTTCTCCTCCGTCACTTGCATGTAATAGTTTTGTTATTGTTGGGTTGTTGGAAGGAAGGGGGAAAAGATAAGGGCGTTTCAATTCATTGCAGAGATAAACGGATATCAACTTTAAAGTACCGGAGTCCAACTATTCAGCACTCAAAAGGCAAAAAGCTTGGGATTTAGCTCTGTAATTGCAGAGAGACAAATTGCCTTTTTCGGATGTTTTTTTGCGAAGTGGATGAGCTCTGCAGACCAAGAGGGAGCTCGTGTGTGCACCAGCCTTCCCCAAGGGTAGGGTGAAGCCTTCCCCCGTGGATAGGGGGAGAGTTCCCACTCCTTGGAGAACTCAAGCTGGCAGTGACCTCGACCAAAAAAGTCAAGCTTGGAGCCTTAACCGTGTCAATAAAAAGCCTCCTGAGGAAGCACAAAGACACCTCATGAGAAGTGCTGACACCAGGAGCTTAAGATAAGTCAGGTGCATAGATGGAAAGGTCCCTTGAGCCCACCCCACCCTTTGTGTGGAGAATGGCCAACAGCCAGACTCTTAAAAAAAAACCCAGAAACTCGAGGTTCCCCCAAGAAAATAATACCTTTTCTTTTAGTCTCCTCCGCAGCCTGTCTTTGGAAGACTGAAGCAGGTTGATCTTAGGCCTCTCCCCGACGCGCTCGTGAGCGCTGTCCTTCCGTTTGGTCTCCGACTCTGGGGGATACGGCTGGGGCTGCTTCTCCACAGCCTCGGGGCCTCGAGGCGCCTCCACGGGGCTGTGAACCGTGCAGGCCGAGGTGTCCTCGATTTTCAGATTCTCAGTCTCTTTGGCGTTTCTGTGCGTTTCTTTGTCGTTGGGCGAGTGCTTCTGGTTGTGGTGCCATCTCCGGTTCTGGCTGTAGCCGTGGTGGCCCGTCCTGCCTGAGGAGTGGGGGGCCTGGCCTCCTTGGTAGACCTTCTGGTGGTCCCTGTTATGTTTGGTGCCACCTTGCTGATGATCCGTGTGCTGCTGAGACTTGTTCCCACTGGGAAGTCTCTGCTGTCGCCTGGAAGGTCAAAGAAAGTCTTAAGTTCATCTACTCCTCCATGTTTCTGCTTGGACAACACATCTGTCCCACCAGACAGCCTGGCCCTTGGCAGGGGACCACAAAAAGGGAGCCAAATTCTTGGCATCTAACTATCTCCTACCAACTCTTGCTTCTAAATCTCTTTCACTAACAGTCCTATTTCAAGGTAAACAACATGACTTTGCTTCCCAGGAAAAACTCCCCCAGGCTTCTGTGTTTTCTGTGTTACTTCCACACTAAACAGGGAAAACCTGGCTAGCCCAGCTGAGCAGCAGGAAGTCAGGTAGGCTTAGAAATACCAGGAGTTATTTTTTTCTGAAGTCTTAAGGAGCTCCTGATACACCTGGGATACAACAGCATCACTTGCTCCTCTTGCCTGCCAACACGGCACGCTGCTGCACAGGTTTGCAGTGAACCATTTTGAGTGTACCAGGAATTTCTAGGTGGGAAAAAATAAACATTTGCCCACACCAAATGGTTTTGTTTGGCCTTACTTTATGGATGTCCTTCATCATTGCCACAGTGGGACAGGGAACACGGATGGATGAAGAAGCTGAGGGCCATGCTTGGCTCTGGCAGCACGGGGAGCCAGGACCACAACCTCCAGATGGAGGGCTGCGTGCACAGAGCTCCAAAGGGATGACAGGGAAGTTCAACAACCACAAAGAGGAGGAACTGCCCAAAAAACGGTTTACTCGAGAGACTACAATGTCTCAGAAGGAGTGAGCAAGCCCCTGTGTGCTGGCTGTAACCGGTAGCCGAGATGGCAGATCTCCAAAAAAACAACAGTCAAATGGAAGAAATGCTTTGGCAGCCTCAGACATCTCAGATTTCCAAACAGGCTGCAGCGTGGCTGTCCCCAGTGGAGAAGGCAGAGCTGGAATGCCATCATCAAGGATGCAGCTAAGATGGAGATGGTCCTGGCACTGACTGCCTTCACCCAGGACAGTGCAGGGTTACCCTAGGCACACCCCCAGCTCCCTGCTGCTTTTTTAACACTCAGTCTTGGCTCTGAGAGCACGTGGGATGTCTTAATGCCTGGCTCCTTACAAGGCTGCTGGGAGCAGTGTTTGAGGGTGGCACAGGACACGTCCCCAGGATCGTCCCCAGAAACAGGAAAACAACTGTGAGCGCTGCGGTGACCGCAGCAGTCTGCATCTGTACTGGTTTGGTAGCCATAAAACCCCTGCTCAGCCTCAGCCCTTACCCCAAACCCTCACCTCCATTGGGATAAATAGCAGCTTTTATTTTAAACCCGTCCCACAGCAATTAACTTTATTTTCATCACTGGCACCGCTCAGCTCAGGGCGCTCGGACGAAGGAAGCAGCCATTCACAAATACATTTCAATGGTCAGTGGCTCACAACAGCCTCCAACCCCGCCTGCCAAAGCCATCTGCCCATGGAATCTGTATTCCTTGGCATCCCCAGGAGTTAAAACCTATTTTCTGAGGCCAACTGGCTTTTAACCATAAAGAGCGAGGGCTCATGTTTGGCAAACACAGGACGAAGAGGCTTGTTCATGGCACTGGAAGGAATTTGTGTTTAGTCTCAGACCACCAGATCCGGTTTTCTGAGATATTCAGTGTGTGGTTTTTCAGGTGTTTTTTTTTTTTTTTTGAAAGCTGAATGGCAGGGAATTTAAAAAAAAAAAAAAAAAAAAAAAAAGAGATGGGAAAAGCTTTCCTGTTTTCTGGAGCTTACAAGCATTTTATGAGTACAGATCCTCCACATCAAGTTTTCCTGGCATTTCTTTGTTTCCTCTCAGTAACGCAATCACATAAACCGCTCTGTAAAGAGCAACGCTTATTAAAAGGGAATGTCAAAATAAAAGTTAGTTAAAACCCTTATCTGATACTAAGCCCTCACAAGTTTAAGTGTGCAAGAATTTTGTTTTCTGGGGTTTTGCTTGTCTCTCAAAACATCTGAGTTTAACTGTTTGGTTGCACTTCAAGTCTTGGGTTATAAGCCAGACAGTCTGCTACTGTATTTAATTTGTAAATATTGCATAGAAATTATAGAAGTTGCACACAGACACGGCTTCAATTTCAACAGAAGTAGGGGAAAATGCCTGGAAAATGAGCTGGGAACTAAAACTCTGCTGTAAATTCCTGCAAGAAATGCATGCAGGGACAGTTCTTTTCCTAAAGACATAGGATATTATAAGCCAAACCCTTTGTATTTAAGGGTTCTGGATGAAAAAAAAGTTCAAGATTAAAAAAAAAACAAAAAAACAAACCAGTTAAGCCTGTGTGGTATGTGCAAGATTGTTCAGTTTGGGGCTGCTGCAATAGGACTGGGGAGGACAGGCATCTACATCCCTGTACAGAACAGATAAAAGGTGATACCCCCATGGCAAGGGGCAGAGCAAACACAGACCAAAGTTCTGCAGTCACTGACCACAGGATGGAAAACATCAGAGTTAAACAAGCTCTGGGAAAAAAAAAAAAAAAAAACCTGCAAGAAATAAGAGGAAGGAGGACGGCAAACAAGGAGCAATGTCCGTGACTTGGCAGCAGGCAGGGGTGTAGACGATCATCCAGCATTCAGGCAAAGACTGTTCTGTGCTTTTATCTTCCCAACACCCCAGTGAAGAAGAAAAGCCAAGAAGAAATAGGATCTGTGGGGAAGAAGAGCCAAAGCAGGGAGAACGGGGCCCAGACCTTAATAGTTTCTTGACTGCACAGCATCTCGAAGCCTGGGAGCTTGGGGTGACCCATCCCTGCTCTCAGGTGTGACCAAGGAGCTGGGGACATACAGAGCCCCAGGAAGGGGAAAGAGGGGGACCTGGGAACTCCACCATGCACCCACTGTGGGTTGCTGATGGAAACAACCTCGTGCTTGTCCAAGGGCAGGAATGCAGGTACACAGATGGCAGCTTGAAGTGTTGTCCCAAGATGGTGCCTTGGAGTGATGTGCCAAGCTTAGGGAACCAGACCAGGTAGGAGCACAAAGGCGCTTCCCAACCCAGGCTTTTAGGTCCGAGATGCTGAAGGGAGGAACTGCTGACACCTCAATCACACAGCAACATCTCCAAGAAAAGCAAGAATTCACCCCAGAAAAATGCCACAGTTACTGGGAAATCCTTCCCTTGTCCTCAGATCATCCTTAGCTGTGCATGCCTTACAGGGGGGGGCCCTACTTCAGCTATGAGAAAAAGTATCTAGACAATCTAGGTTTCTTATCTCTTGACTCCATTTAACCTATTTTCACTTCAAAGGCCGAATTCCAATTCAGTTCAGAACTCCCCCTGACTTCAGTGGGATTGGGGGATTTGGCCATCAGTTGTTGTAGAAACTGGGAGACACAAAGAAACTGGAAAAAAAACCCAAGGCGTTTTGAGTACTCCGGGTTGCCAAGCTGGAAATAGGATGGTTTTGCTTCTGCTATTGTTTGTCCACCCATTTTTTTTATTTAATTAACTAAACAAGATACCTTTCAACAGAATTTAGGTCTGACAAATGTCTGCTCTGTTGTAGAAGCCTACGCAAACAAATCTAAGGCTTCAGCTGTCTCAGTGATTACCAGCCTACGTGCTCAGAAATACAGGATTCCTGCAAGTTTTTAGTACATCGTTTGCTCCCAGGGAAAGGAGCTGGAAGGCACAAGGTTGGGGAAAATAACTCCAGACACGTGGACAGCTGTGGTCTAAAACACAGTTGCTCTGTCCTGTCAGCCCTGCCTGTATCCCCCTGAGCAAGAAAAGTCCTCCAAGAGCTCCCACCATTTGTCTGGCATGTGGAGAGCTGGAGGACAACACGGGGTTACATTCTCCTGGCGGTTGCAAGGAGATTTGGTTTGGCAATTCTTGCAAACACTGAGAGCTAAGGAGTTACATTAGAGCACTGGTCTGATGAGGAGTGTCTGCGGGAGCTGGGGGGGTTCAACCTGGAGAAAAAGAGGTTCGGGGGGACCTCCTGACTCTCTGCAATTCCCTGACAGAAGGGGGTTGTAAGTGTCTCATGATCAGCTTTGCTATTGACTTGTCTGACACTAACTAGCAATTGCGGTTATAAGGAACAGATTAAGATCACAGAGTCACAGAATAGTTCGATTTGGAAGAGACCTTAAAGATTATTCAGTTCCATTCCCCTCCCATGGGCAGGCACCCCTTACCCTAGAGCAGGCTGCTACAAACTCCGTCCAACCTGGCCTTGAACACTTCCAGGATCGGCTGCAGAAATGGACTTTCTGGGATCTTCCACTCTCATGACACCAGATCCCACTTATTAATGATACCCCTCAAAGCTGGGGTAGCAGAGCATCCCCAAGGAGCTCAGCAACTGCACCTGAAAATGGAGAACTGGTGGGGTTGGATCTGTGGGATGACAGGCCACCGCTCTCTACCTCCCTTCTGAAAATGCCACCACAACTTCCCATTGATGGAGGGAAACTAAAGAAACAAAACCTCTTAGAGTCACCACTGAGTCACATTCACAATTTAGCAAGTGGGTTCTTCCCACCTGTACCAGCTAGCTGCCCAGGAAAGGGTAGGAACAAGCAAAGTCCTCTGAAACATTCCCTGAACAAACCAATTTCTCCAGGTCCAGCCTTTCTGAACTAAGTGTATTCCAGCCAAACCAGCTGCTTCACTTTGTGTGATGTATTTCCATAAATAACTGCACTGGCACCCCCAGGCAGGTGCTGCTGGAGAGGTTTGGGCATGGCAGTACTGCTGTGGTCAGAAAGACCCATCATCACTGGCTTTGGGCACCTAAGGGATGTTGTGGCCCAAACTGGATGGCCTAACGGATCTCAGTGAGGAGCTGGTGGAATTTTATAACATCTAAAACTGGTCCTGGAGCTCTGGGGAATACTGCTGTTAATAAAACAAGGAGAAAGGCCTGACTTCCCCCAAAGGTATTCTTCACCAAGCCTACCTCCATCAGAGGCGCTCTGATGCTTCACGTGTATAATAACAACAACTCAGTGTTGCTTCAGTGCATCACAGCCCAGCTCTGGCCATTTTCTATCCTTGCT